ATGGTGATTTTGTGCCTTGTGTGGTGTGGACTGTGAGGCGCTTTGTGTTGCCCTGTGAAGGAAAAGCATTCTATCAATAAAGAAACAAATTGGAGATCAGGCATGTCCAAACTCAGGCCTGGGAGCCATTTGCGGCCCTCGGGCTTAGCAGGGCAGAGGGCCACATAAAATGACACAAAGTTGTTGAGTTCACTGTGTCATCCATCCAACTTCAGCTTTGTTATAGATCATTTTAAAGCTCAGAAGAGCCTGATGCCGGTCAAGACAGTTTTTCAGTCCGTGATGTCGCCCCCTGGACTAGTCTGGTGAATTAAAGTGGCTCTCTTACTAAAATGTTTGAACACCCCTGTTTTAGATGCTTCCACAATCAACTTTTGTTGTTATATTAATGCAACACTAGATCAGAATCAGAATAAATTATGAATGAACACACAACAAGTTGGTGGAATGTGTTTCCGGTACAGAAGGAATGCTCATAGCTCAACAGAGAAGACGTACAAAACAAACAAACATTAACATCGACATGGACATAAACATCAGGGATTGGTTGTGGGACCGAATGGCAGTGGGATTTAAGCTGTTTTTTTTAATCTCTCGTTGGCTTTGGGAGGAATTGGAGAAAGTGCGTGCAGAGACCCCCTCCTGCTCACACCAGACATGTCCAAACTCTGGCCTGCGGGTAAATTGCGGCCCTCTGTGTCATGTTAAGTGGCCCTCTCCTTGCTCACACAAAGCTCACAGGGTCGAGCCAACTTCAGCTTCTCCAATATAGGCATGTTGTAACTCGTTGTAAAGCTCATACAGTAAACTTTTGTCATTTTTCCAACTTTTACTCTTGCCAGCCCAGGGGACATTTTTGGTGAACTAAAGTGGCACTCCTACTGAAAGGTTTGGACACCCCTGGCTTAGACTGCCATGTGGCCGCAGATAACGCAAAACAAAATGGATGGATGCTAATCAAAAGTCATGTCAGAGCAAGAACAAACCCTGAGTTGGAAAAGTGACTGGGAGCATACAGAGTAATAAAGAGAACATGCAAACGATGTCTGTAAGGTAGATGGAGCTCCTAGGCTGTAAACATTATATTAGTTTTCCTATACTCTCCTGCATGACATTAAATAAATAGGGGTGTGACAATATATCGATTTTTCTATATATCGCGATACTTTCTCCCGCGATTCGATTATCGATATGCATTTGCCAAGTGTCGATATGGATTAAAAAAACTAAAAAATGTTTTTTTTTTTTTTTTACAAATTATTATTTTTAATTGGTATCAATACTTAATATATGGCTACATTACGCATCTCCATTCCATTTATCATGAAATAAAGTGTATTTTTTCTTTTATTTATGCCATAAATTGGCATATTGTATATTTCTGACCAATATATCGATAATCGTCATATCGTGATAAAATCGTTATCGTGATATTGTTATTGTGATATTATCGTTATTGTGAGCTTTGTATCGTGTATCGTATCGTGAGGTACCCTTAGGTTCCCACCCCTATAAATAAACAACTTTTATGATTAACAACACATCACATAACTGCAGCCGCTTCTAAACAAATTCCACGTACAATTCCAAAGAGGAGGAAATATAGTGATAATTCAATGTATTTATTCAGACCCCCATATCCGTGCATAGATCATAAAAGACGAGACCAGAAATCATCCGGGACCATTCACATACTGTACTGTACATGACTCACGGACTGGAGACGGCCCTGGGAAAGTGGCCGCTCACAGACTGGGCAGTTTCATTGTTTTGGTACCGACAGAGCAGATCATGTGAACGAATAAAACGTAAACGTATTTGCCCGAGCCGATGTGAAGCGTTTACAGACGTCAATGGCCTCTTTGTCGACCCGAACACCAAAGAATTAGTCACATGTCGGGGTCATCCTAATCAGCGTGAGTCATGTATGTGTTTGTCTACATCAGCAGGTAGCAAACGAGGCCGTGTGGAGCAGACAAAAGTGAGCTGTTGGTAAGAGGTGATTGGGGCAGTGGAAAAGCAGGATGTTTACTCACCGTGATGTTGATGTAAATACAAAGAAGAAGAGACTAGAGCTCGCCGTTCCCTTCCAGGTACACTGCAATAATAAGAAAAATAAGTTAAAAATTGCTCAAATTTGGCAAATTGTATCTTAATTTTAGCACAATCTGACTGACCCTTAAAACAAGAATTGCCAATAGGACAAAGTGAAAGTATCTTGTTTATAAAAGATACAAGTAATGTCTCCCTTAGAATGAGAACAAAATTATGACTGTTCAGGCTTTGCAAATTGGCAAATCCTGTCAGAATGAACGCAAATTAAGATAAAAACACTTGATTTAAGCATTTTTTTACCTCATATTTTATCATTTTTTGCAGTGTAGCTCGCCAAAGGATTTAGAAATGAACGCATCAAATAATATACTTAATATTTTGGATTGTATTATTATTTATTAATGTAAATGCACTTACTTTGTGCACTAGTAACAAATATGTGAAGATAAATAATGTCTGTACCTAATATCAGGCTCGTTCACACCAATATATCACCACATTTTTCCCAGAGTCGCTTAAAGGAGTAGCTCTCTGCCTTTATCGTCCCGGGGAAGTAGCTCTCTGGGTGAAAAAGGATGGAGACCCCGATGTATAGTAGACCAGACATTCATTCTTTTTGGCACAGCGTCCGAAGGGCCTTAATGAGACATGAGGCAATAGTTAGATTTATTTCAAACCTGCTGAACACAATTTCACATACTGTATCTTTACACTAATACAGGGTTGGTTGGATGAAGCAGAATACAATGCAATTAATCAACATACAATATCAATACAGTTCTGTAATATACAATACCCAACCATGGGATATTAGACACACACAACACGCAAACACACACATACAAACTGGTCCAAAACAGTCTCTGACCCAACCCCTCGCTCCCATCGTCTGCTCTGTGCGGAAGGCCTCACTCATTCTCCTCCATGTGCTTCAACATTTCGTTTTTATAGTTTTAAAAATGGTTATAAATAGGGCAATAGACCATTTCTAGCACCTCTGCTGTTGTTGTATAGGGAGTATGAATGAGCCTTTTAAATATCTTATCTCACCTGTGAATATTTCTGCATCTGTCTCTTGCACAATCCAACCCTATTCATGTACTGTATGTGTCACCCAGACCAGAATCACGTCCCATATTGACCACTCCCGGTGAGACATGGCATGACCAGTATTTATTACAATTCTTCCTGATCCACACTGGATGAGGCTGTCTTGTTTTTGCCCCCTGCTGGAACGTTTTGCTGCAGAGAAAGTAAGTGAGAGCTAATGACAGGGGCAGAGTCAGGGAAAGCTGCAATTACTTTGAGGTAACCATTTATCTGCGAGTGGATACAACAAGCCTTTTGCCTCTGTGATAAGGAACTGGTCCCGGTTCTTTTACCCTCAAATTAAAGCTGAAAACAAATTGAGGTAAAGGCAAAATATTTCTGGACCCGACTGCATCCTGTTTTCAAATGTAATCGTTTTCTATGCTATAATTTTTTGTTCGGTTCATCCAGGAATTAATCGTGAAGTGGTGACTTGGGCCAGAGCTTGGTAGAAATATAGAAGTACAAGAAGTATTTTTTTACCGTTGCAATGTGATTTTTGATAAAATTGACAAATTTGAAAGGGTGTACAAGCAAATATCTCATTCGCAATTCTGAGGACTTTTTGCAGTAATCATGAGTAATGTGATTATTTGAGATTTTACTTTGAGCACTTTGAGTTTCCTTGTGTTTAAACCATGCTCTACAAAAACTGGCCTTGCCAAACCTTTAGGATAAAAAAAAAAATTCTAGTGGAAATAAAAATAAAATAAAATCGCTGTAAAAATATAAAAACAAATAAATCTGTACCTCATTGTCCAACTCTGGGAATCCCAGATGCTCAAATAAAAAGGACAAAGAACCCGAACGGGACAAGATAAGATAGACTTTATCGATGTAACAATGGAGAAATGTGCATTTCACATTTGGCAAAGATAGAATCACTCAGATTTGTGCAAAAGACAGAAGTGTGCGACATGTTAAAGGTTAAAAATATATTCAATTATGTACAATAAAAAGTGTCAATTAAAGAAAGAGTGGCAATAGCATCAGTGCATTAGTGACTTAGTTACTTATTGTACAGTCTGACAGCGGTGGGGATGAAGTAGGCCCTGCGCTACTTGGAAACGTTGTTCTTTTATCGTTTTGTGGATTGCACGATTTGATTGCAAAAAATCGCACCAGTAATGCCCTTTCATATTAAAGTCGTACAAATATGTATTTCTTCAATTGACTTAGATGAACACTAACAGATTCCTAATTCTGTATGATAATTTTGATCCACGGGTGTTGTAACTATTTGCCAGAGTTTCTTCCACCTCTGTGTTGGTTGTTTTTCGTGTTTTGGGAGCTCTCCACTGCTGCCTACGGTCCCCACATTCCCCTCATGTCTCATACGAGTCCAAGAGCGAGAGGGAAAAGCAAGAGAATCAGGACACTCCCTCCATCTGCTCCACACATCCCATAATTATCCATAAACAGCTGAGGACGAGCTTGTGCCTCTTCACATACAGGCAGCGTGGGAAAGCTCACCGCTACATTTGTTGGATACCGAACGCTGCTTCTGTACATTCCACCAACACAGTTCACTTTGTGTTCAAGGTGCAGTGTCTGGTTTTCAAGACCAACTTTTTACATCACCAACTTATAAAGTAAACAAAATGTATTTGAATCTTGTACAAATACACATTTCACATAAAGTCTTGACACAACAGAAACCATAAGGCATTAGTATGTGCAGAACTAACTTTAACATCACATAATTGTCTCACAAAGATCCCACATAACAGCGATAAGATAATATAGACTTTGTTGATCTCACACTGGAGAAATTTACACGTCACATTTGGCACAAACAGAGTCACTCAGATTGTTCAAAGATTGTGCCAGCGTTAAAACCTGGGACAATAGCGGGAATGGTTATGTTGGTTGGTGCGTTGATTGGTGCGTTGATTGGTGCGTTGGTGCGTTGGTTGGTGCATTGGTTGGTGGGTTGGTTGGTGCGTTGGTTGGTGCGTTGGTTGGTGCGTTGGTTGGTGCGTTGGTCGGTGCGTTGGTTGGTGCGTTGGTTGGTGCGTTGGTTGATGTGTTGGTGTGTGTTGGTGCGTTGGTTGTTGTGTTGGTTGGTGTGTTGGTGCGTTGGTTGGTGCGATGGTGCGTTGGTTGGTGTGTTGGTTGGTGTGTTGGTTGGTGTGTTGGTGTGTTGGTTGGTGCGTTGGTTGGTGCGTTGGTTGGTGCGTTGGTTGATATGTTGGTTGGTGTGTTGGTTGGTGTGTGTTGGTGCGTTGGTTGGTGCATTGGTTGGTGTGTTGGTGCGTTGGTTGGTGTGTTGTTTGGTGTGTGTTGGTTACAGCGCAGTGCACCCAGGACCCAGGGAATCATTCCACATTGGACTATGGCAAGTGTATCATTTACACGTGAAAAATATGTCATGAGACTTTATATTGATCCAAGGACAAGTTAAAAACTCTCACGGCTTGTTACGCTGGCCTTATGCAAAGTATTGTCCCTTGTAGAAGAATCTCAAATAAATCCAAACTTTCAATCCCCTTCATTCTTTACATTTTCTCCAAAGTTGAGATGTTGAATTCTCCTTTTCACTTAGAGCTTGTGATAAAGTTTCCTTTCAAATGGAGTTAAATCTTTCAGTCCTCATTATGTTATTTCTCTCGCCACGTTCAGATGAGCAGCTGTGAATCGTCCACATGTAACCAGAGAGGATGCTGGGACATGGCATGTTTGACCTTCCCATGTTTCCTTATCAATAATTCACAAGTAACAGGTGCTTTGTTTGTGGAGTTATAAAGGTGATGTCACAAAGTACGTTGATTTAGTAGCCCATGTGTCGCTAGAGGTTATGCCCAATTTTGTTCAAGGTATATGAGTAAGTACGAGTTTTTTAGGAGAGATCGACATACTTTTCTTTCGGAAGTGCCGGAGGTGCAATGCTAATGTGGCTAACTATTGCAAGCTTTACCTTCACATTCTGACATTAAGTCACGTTTTTTGACTTTCTTTCATTTTTTCCAGATTCTCAGCTTTAAAATGAGATATAACATGTATATACAGTATACTGGGTTATACTGTCCCTCTAAAAAAATAAACATCATACCATACCGTACCATTCAAAGTTTAGCTAAACATGTCTTCATTCTGTAACTTGCATCATCGAGCCTGCAGTCCTACCCCGCACACGGCCTTTTCTGTCCTGACCTGAACTGACAGTAAAAGTAGATTTATATTCGCAGTCTCTGAAGAAGACGTCATAGAAATCCTCAGGCTCCTGTGAGGACACTGAGGTCGCTCCATGTCGGCTCCGTGGAGCTCGGCCAACTTCCTGTTTCTCCCTCATAAACAGTGTATATATGTACTTTAGGGAATGCAGCAGCTTCAAATCTATCATGTTTTAAATTAAGCTAGTTCCATAGTCAAATCAGTCAATCTTCAGTCAAGATAGATGGCACTTTTGCTTCAAATAATGCAACAAAAAAAACGCTATGTCTTGATACTTTGTACTTTTAAGTAAGTAATGTTTATTTATATTGCACATTTTTACAGACCAAGGTCACCGAAAGTGCTTTACAATGTTCAGAGTTCAGATATTGTTCCTTTCTCTCCACACACGGTGATGACAGAAGCCAGACGCCGAATACACTGGACCATCAAAGCCTCCAACTGACACCATCCGGTCCCTCACTCATTCAGACCTATTGTACTTGTTTGTAGTGGTAGGGAAAACCGGAGTACACGGAGGAAACCTACCCAGACACAGGCAGAACGTGTGAACTCCACTCAGAAAGGCCCTGCTCCGACCAAGATTCGAACCCAGGACCTATTTACTGAGAAGTTCTATCCTGTCTATGATCTTCAAACTACATCCAACATGTTAACCCTATGAACCCGTCTGCATCGGCGCCGATGCACGCGCACATGTTTTACAAATTATCAATTTACTCGCGAACGCTAAAACGTAGCAACTTACTTTTTTCCCTCTGTGAAGTACATATTCAGGGCTTTCCGAAACTAGTTGATTTGTCTGTGCGATGCACGGAGGATAAACTACGTTTGTCTGAAAGTCCGTGTCCAAAGCGTGACCCGTGAGGTACAAACAGCTGTGAGATACAGACACACGGGGACTGCCAAAGATCGTCAGAGAGTGAGATGTCTCACTCCTCTGCGTTTACTTGTTGTCCCACAGTTGAAACTACAGCTGCGATTGCAATAACCGGCTGAAGAGTGCGCATTATTGATGAAGACGATAATAAATACAGTAAAATGACATTATGTGTATATGATGTATATAAATATCTGTATTATATAAATAATTGATGTTTTTTTTTTTTGGCTCAGTTTCTTATGTTTTACGTTTTTTACAGCTGTACTACAGAAGCAACCCCAGCATTATAGACAAACTGCTTCAGGAAGGGCATCAGGAGTAAAGAGTTTTTTGCTTTTATAGTGGAATTTTGTAAAAAGTATAATAGTTAGAGATTCAATTTTTTTCCCCCATTATCCCCAAGTCCCTAAATAACATTTCTATGCAGTGTAAAAAGTTGTTTATAGCATTTCATTGTGTTTTTTCAATACATTTTTGTTAAATTGATTTTCCGTTGGATTTTTTTTCTTTGTCTTTATGATTCCATAATTTTTATATAATTCATATGACAGCTTTACAATATGAATATTCTAAAACACCAGGTTGTTCTGAAAAAAACAAAGTATACTGCTTGACTCTGCATCAAAAGATGACTGTTTTATGAGCAATTTTACACACAAAAAACCAGGCGAGGAAAGTTCCCCAAAATGACCCATGTGCATAGAGGGTTAAAGGCCTTTTTCTTACTTTCTCGTGCCTTTAACCATGTGTCTGTTAAATAAATGGTCGTGTGACGTTTGTTGTTTGAATCCAGTAAATCGACTCGCAACAACACGTCCCATTTCTTCAGCAGGACTTATGCAAACAGGGGGAAGACACGGAGACGGCTCTTGTACATTTCCACTCACACACGATCTGTCATTGGAACAGGAAACTGTGTAATTACAAGTTTAGATTTGAAAGTGAAGAGTGTAGATCATTCATTTTTACTCTGAGATGAAGGGAGATGATTATTTGTGGGGGAGAATCAAACGGCTGCAGTGGGTTATAATTATGTGCCCTGTCTGCTCTCTTCCTATTGGTCAAATTCAAACACAACACAAGGTATAGTACGCTGGGCTACACTGTACAAAAGGCTCTTGCGATCAAAGAAGCCAGAAGTTAAAGTTTATCATCAAAATCATAATCAAAACTTAATAGTTGTAGATAGCAGGAATTTTAAGAGATTTTATGAAGATTTTTTTTTCTTTACTTATTTTTACAACTTCCTGTTACTTACAATGGCAATACAAATAATTCTAATTTGTTATTTAAATTGTTAACGTCTCTTTTCAAACTGCCAAGCCTTTTGTATAGAGAAAGCCTTTAGCCAACCAGAGATTTTGATAAGAAAGGTTTTTAAATTGAATATATTCTCTGCTCATCTGTGTGTTTTTTAATTATCGTTTATTATTATATTTATTGGTTATTTATTTTTCCATATTTCTTTATTCTCAAAAAACAAAGTATTAAAAATAACCCCATACACACAGGTACAGTTAATCTATCTATATAATCATTATTATGTTTTAGGTGACTAACTTGAGAAAAATATAACATCTCTAAATTCTCTAGCTTTAGCGTAATAAAGAAGCTAGTATAAAATTTATCTAGGAGGATTTTCTACTTCCGGGTGGATCATCAAGACTATTGGTCCTCCCAATTGTCAATCATTCTGGTGATACTGCTCAACAAATAAGACCAGAGAGTTTTTTTCAAAGAGTGGAGAGGGCAGTCTTCATATAATCCTTTTTAAGTCTAAAATCTCTGACTTAAGCGTTTGAAAAGAAGACGGATCTTTTCCCAGTTGTGTGTGATTCTTGATGCTTTTGTCTTTTTAGAGTGCAGTTCATAGCAACGGCTCCTTCCTCTTAATCATTAACCCGCTCACTCCTCTTATCTCTGGCCACTGATTACCTAAATCTGCTTTTAACGCCCAGACCTGTGTGTGTAGACTCCACCACAGCTGTGTGGTTGTTGACGCCACACAAAGCAGAAGTCGTAAAAACTAACTCTGCATTAGGTTCAAACACCTGCGCGGGCTCCGTGTGCGGCGGAGATTCAAAACTGTTTACATTCACGCAACGTATCCACCTGGTCTGTCTCCGAGAGACCGTCCAGAGAGGTCCACATGGTCCACATCTAAACACAATTATGGACATTGGTCTATGCCCCTTATGGATCAATGTCTCTATGTATTTTATCACTTCATTTCCTGTGTTTGTTTGATTCTCTGATCTGTGTTGGCGAATCGACTGCTTGTAATGTCCTTCGAGATAACTACTGTTGAGATTTACGATACAAAAATACATTGGTTCAAATACAGGAGATTCAAGGGATCAAAAACACACACAGAGACACACACACAATACCCACATCCAAGGACACCTGCCTCGCCTCATGTCGCATGTTTTTCGCACCTGCCTTCAAACACGTTTCTTCTCTGATTGAACCCAAAATATTTATCCGATCACAGAGATAATCTCAGACAGCACCTGGGTCAAGCCGATAAGAACCCACAAAGGAATCTGTAGATGCGGTTCAAACTTTAACTTCCAACACACGAGAGAACTGAAGCCGAACCACTTCTGATGCTGCGTCCAGATATCGCACGAAGGCCTTAAACAAACTGTCTGATCCGCTCTGCTGCTGCAGGTCCTGGGAACGCACACTCTACCCAAGACCCTGGATCGTATCTGCCCTGAGCTGATAATAATAATAATATTAATAATAATAATAATAATAATTTATATTTCACCTTACATTTCCAGGAAACCTCCAAGTGCTACCGATTTAAAATACAATACCACAACAACCAAACAGAGCAAAAGAATGAGAAGTCCATAAATACGTCAAAAAGAAACATGAAGGGGTTTAAAGCTGGATATCAACTGCAGACTTTATAAGCTGCAAAGTCTCTTATGGATAAATTACTATTCTGATTACTATTTAAAGCTGCAGTTTTATTTCTTTGGAGTTCGAGTTTGGAGTTGCCATATTTATTGTGATATCTCTCATCAGTAAATGTCAAAATACGTCAAAAGCATCTTGGCGTACAGTAAACCTGCCAATCTGGGTTCATGTTTCTGTTTCCAGTCATTCAGAGGCTCTTCCTTCCTCGCTTCCTTCCCCTTCGCCCCCGCGGTCAGCTCCCAGTCCCAGGCCTGAGGTCCGAGTCCGACGGGTCCCGCTCCTGTCACTGACCTGGCTCCAGCTCCAAACGTCGAGGCTGTCTCCGCGGGACGTCCTGTGTCGGAGGGGAGGGAGGGGGGAGGCATGGGGGGGGGGCCGAGAGGGGGCAGCAGCTGTCTCTTAAACAGATTCCACTTCCTCCCGGTGACAGTGGGGTCTGTGTGTGCGTCCTGGGGAACAGTGCGGGCTTTGAGGCGCGCCCGGCATGCGGCTGTCCCCCACGAGACAACTGCGCCCTCTCTTCGCCGCAACCCGGGTTGTCGCTCTGATGACGTCTGCGAGGGCCACTGCTGTCATTGTGTGCGTTCAAGTCGGGTCGTCATTGATCATAAAACATTTACACAACACTAAATTCAATGCAATTTATTCTTGTATAGGCCTAAATCACAACAGTAGTTTTTGTCCGACTTTACAAAACTGTCAAATTTTCCAACAAAGTTCAGAGAATTAAACCATTGGTCCATAAGGGGCAGAGACTAATGTCCATAAATGTTGAGAAAGTCCATAAATGTCATTGAATTGTGCCCTGGATCATCACCACTGCCCTTGGACCCTCCTGTATCGGCAAAAAAGCCTTCTAAAACCCAGTGGGAGAAAAGTGAGAAACCTTGCCCACATTGAGAAAGGGATCCACTCTCACAGCTGGACGGGTAGATCCAGGTTTCAGGCTGTAGAACGAGGACCGAGGCCACTTGATGCAGCCGCTATCTGAGCCGGGGGAGACGGTCCACAGGTGCCGCTGTAGGAGGGCCGGGTTCACGGGTCCCATCGTCACGCAACTTTGGTGAAATGGATTTTTTTTTTTTTTTTAACCTGTCAGGCTAACAGAACATTCTATACATTTCAGATTATTCAAAAGATATTTTTGCCATTTAAAAGTATTTTTTCTTAACAATGAAGGCCAAAATCAATACATATAAACAGTAATAATTATGCATAAAGGGTCAACTTAAAAGAAAATATAGAAAATATCTCAAATATTCTTTTTTTCTTTCTCGTTCTCTTCCTACTCCTGGTCTGGATCTTGGTCTTGGTCTAGGTTTTGGTCTGGTCTGTCTCGGTCTCGGTCTCGGTCCTGGTCCTGGTCCTGGTCCTGGTCTTGGTGTTGGTCTTTCTCTATTCTCTAAATAAATAAACAGTTACAGTGACTAATCATGACAGACCTACTCTACATGTCTCTGTAGTATTTCACCCTTGCGTCCCCCCCCCCTCCTCCCCCCTCCCACCCTTTCCCTCTGCGCCCACACTTGCCGGTCGACAGGTTAGTGAGCGTGAGCTGTTTTGCTTGTTCTGCCCGTGGCTCTGGTTGGCTGGACAGCTGCTGGTTGATCCGCAGCTCCAAGTTTCCCATGGAGCCCACTCAGCCTCCTCTGCTCTGGGCTTGACCTGCTCCTCTCTTTCATGTGGATCCGTCGGCCAAGACTTCGCCCACTATAGATCCTTTGAAGATATTTTGAGACGTCTTAATGGTCGGTTGAAGTTTTCGCTGGTTTTTGAGTTGTTGTCATCTGGAAGCATTGTGGACATTCCAGGGGATTACGATCTCATCAGCTAACCCAGGGGTGCCCAAACTTTTTAGTACGAGGGCCACTTTAGTTAACCAGACTAGTCCAGGGGCTGACAACACGGACTGTAAAACACTGGATTTGGGTTGAGCTTTAAAATTGATTTAAAAAGTTTAGAATGGGGTATAATGTGCCTATATTGATTCACACCACAGCTACATTAATGCCATATATGGACTTTGGACTTTTGTGCCGTAAAAACAAATATCAGGATATACAAACAAAGTCAACGGTTGGATTCCAAAGGTTCAGAGCTTTACAAGGAGGTATAGCATGATTATACTGGTGAAGCTGAAGTTGGTTGGATGACACTGCAAAAGTTCCTCAATGGCTACTTTGTGTTAGCGGCAGAGGGCCACGTAAAATGACACAGCGGGCCGCATTTTGCTCGTGGGCCGTAGTTTGGCCTTGCCTGGTCTAACCCATAGACTGTAGATATTAAAGTCTAACCTTATTGTGACAAGTTAAGAACTACTGTGTATAGTAGGTTGTGTGTTCATTGATAAACATGTGTATCTCAGTCATTGTTTTGAAAAGATCCTGGACTACCATGTCTTCAACCAGATACAAAATGGAACTAGTTTGATGGATTGTATTACTGTAAGTTCCTTGCTCTCAAAACTGTTGGGTTCTTTCACTAGTTTTCACATGCATGTATCTTTGACCTTTGTGACATCTTTAGATCTGCTTTTTCTGACAGAAAAGCTCTCCCCATGTCGGCGTAGGTTTCCTCTGGGTGCTCCGGTTTGCACAAAAGATTATTTACTTACCTTGTTTTAAAAATAGGCAAAAATCTCTCTGCTGTCGTGATGGTCCAATCCGTGGTCTGACGCGGTATGTTTCCTCTGGGTGCTGCGGTTTCCCCTATACCTCTAAAAACATGCACAAAAAATGTCTTACTTACTTACATTTAAAAACAGGCTGAAATCTCCCGGCTGGTGTGATGGTCTGATCCGTGGTCTTGATGACTTGACCCCTGACCCCCGGGGAGCGCGGCTGGAGGAATGCGCCGCTTGTAAACAGCACACGCCTGTTTTTGTGCCTCTGTCACAATGGACCGGCTTCCTTTGTTTGGCTCTTTATGAACCATCAAAGCCCCAGACTCCGGACAGAAGGCAGGTACTGTGTGCTCTGGGGACCGGGGTTTTTGGAGCCGCTCTGTCCTTTTTGCTTTTATACCATGTGTTTTGTCAATCTGGCGAGTCACGAATATGGTCAAGTTTATGGTTTAGGTGTTATTTAAACTGTTCTGGGGGTGGGGGACTTTATGTTTTGGTTTTATTAATTTATTTTTTGCCCCAACAGAAAGTATTGAGTATCATTAAGTGAGCAAGTCAAACCACAACATAAGGCCTTTATCTTGTTAGAAAGATAAGCGAGCTGATTGGCTGAGAGAGGGTTGGTACTCTCCTTTTCACTGAAATAGCTGTTTTTAAAATCTGTCAGAGGCCAAAAATACATGTTTGTGAAAAGTAGTGATAGAACCGAACAGTGTTGAGTCATAAACTAAAGGTGGGAGAAAAAAATTGGTTCTGTTCAGTATCGCGATATTTTGCGCCATAATAAGTGTGACATTTGAGTTTTATTTTTTCAATTTGTTTAACATTTTAACATGAGGGACAGGAATCGCAATATATCACAGAATCAAATCGTAATACTTTTCTGTATCACAACATGTTAAGATATGTAATTATACCCCTATGTAGTAAATGTATTTTAATTGTGGCCCAAATATCGCCATTGAATTGTCTTTAACTTTGTTTTTGTATATACAGTATTTCTACAGTTTTTCATTAAACCTTCATTGTACATTTTTTTACAAGCAATGTGACTTCTCTCGGCTAAGTTACAAGTTACATCTGCGGAGAGGCGAGTCTTCTCTCTGTAAATAAACTTTTTTTTTAACTCTAACCTTATCCATACTGGAGGAATATACAACATTTTAAGCAAGACAAGGCAATAAGACTTCTATCGCAAGAAGCATACATCGGATCACTTCACAAGTAATTATTAACTATTTTGGTTTCATTAATATATTTTGTGAGTCTCAACAACTTCTCAACCTCTTGCTTTTATTAGAAAACATTGGATCTTTTACATACTTAGCGCTGATTGGCCGAGTCATGGCTGAAAAACCAGATGGAAAATATTTCAAACCAGTGCAAATTTGATTGTAATGTATTAATAAATTCATCTTTAGTGTTTTTTCAGGCCCAATCCTTTTGTAAGTTTTGTCCCGACCTCAAACTTTTTCTAAGATATCAGTATCTTGTTTTTCTTAATATCGTGATTGAGTTTGAACCGGATCTCGAGCTGAGCCAGCCCGTTCTCTCCCAAAATATTTCCAACGGCCTCAGATGCTATCCCAGTGCACACACGCCTTTCGATCTGCCTGTTTCATATTTACTGAATGCATTCGGGGCATGAATGTAGAAAGGAAGTGGGGGATTTTGGCACGAGTTTCCGGTGCGTTCCACATAGTTTTCCTCTGGAGACATTGGGTCTGTTTGCGATCGCTTAAGACCACGTTTAGACCGACATTGATCCATCCACTGCTGGCTCTGGACCTCCAGGTTTAAGACCTTCTCTCTTCTAAGATTCCAAGCTCCCCAGGTTTAACAGCCGGTCCATTCAATAAGACCCACTTAGATATTCAAGTGAGCCATTCCACAATTAAATACTAGACGGGTAGAAAGTTGGATAAAAGTTCTGATGATTGATAGAAGCTGATCTGGTCCCATGTTGAGTGAACCTCAAAGTAACTTCAGGTGCTGAGGATAAAAGCCACGAGCCTGCACTGAATAAGATTCCATTTTTGACCTTTTCTAGGGCAAAAAGTGATGAAAAACAAGTAAAAATGGGCCAAATTTTGCTTAATGCATCTTGATTTGCGCACATTCTGACTGCCTTCAAACAAGATTTGGGTCCAAGCAAAATGGTCTTGGATTAGAAAGATACAAGAAAAGTCTTCTTTGGAATGAGAAAATAATCAATCAATCAATCAATCAACGTTTATTTGTAGAGCGCCTTTCCTACACAAGGCAACGCAAAGCGCTTCACATCCCCTATCACATCATGCATAAATCAAACACATTAAGAGCACAAGATATATTAAAAACATTAAAAATAAAATCACAAAAATTAAAAACCTTTAAACATTAAAATCACAGATGGGACTAAAATCATAAATAGTCACAGTGCATTAAAAAGATTAAAGATAAAAACAAAGATGAAAAGATAAAATCATTCAGTTGTATATGCGCAGCTAAACAGAATTGTTTTGAGCCTAGATTTAAAGGATGCCAGAGTAGACGCCTGTCTCACATTCTCAGGAAGACGGTTCCAGACTCTAGCCGCATGAATCTGAAATGCAGTTTGCCCATGTCTAGTACCGACTCTGGGCACTAACAGGAGTCCAGTCCCTGTGCTCCTCAGAGTCCGGGTCGGTTCATATGGCACAAACATGTCGTGGATGTACCTTGGCGCGAGACCATGGAGAGACTTGTACACAAGTAAAGCTGCTTTGAAGTCTATTCTCTGAGGAACAGGAAGCCAGTGCAGAGACCTGAGAACTGGACTAATGTGGTCGTACTTCCTAGTTCTGGTCAGGACTCGAGCTGCTGCATGTTGAATGTACTGCAGCTGTTTTACAGCCTGTTTGGAGAGACCTGTGAACAAGCCATTGCAATAGTCTAACCGACTGGAGACAAAAGCGTGTATAAGAGTCTCCAAGTCTGCCTTAGACACTATGTTTTTAATTTTAGCAATGTTTTTTAGGTGGTAATAAGCTGCTGATGTTACAGATTTTATGTGGCTTTTGAAATTTAAGTCTGAGTCCATTATCACTCCTAGATTTCTGACTTGATTTGAGGGTTGTAGAGAGAGAGCCTGGAGGTGACAAATAACGCTCTCTCTTTGTTTCTGGGGTCCGAAAACAATTATTTCAGTTTTGTCGGTGTTTAGTTGGAGAAAGTTATTTTGCATCCAATCACCGATTTGCTGGACACAGTGAAGGAGCGAGTCCACTGGTTCATGCTCTCCTGCTGTCAGGGACACATAGACCTGAGTATCGTCAGCGTAATTGTGATAAGAGACATTATTACTGTGAATCAACTGACCTAGAGGCAACATGTAAATATTAAACAGAAGAGGACCCAGGATTGACCCCTGTGGCACTCCGCAGGTCAGGGCCAAGTGGTCTGAGGTACAGTTTTCGATCTCCACAAAAAACTTTCTGTCTTGTAAATAGGACCTAAACCAGCTTAGGGCGGTGCCAGCAACACCAACCCAGTCCTCAAGTCTCTGAATGAGGATGCCATGATCAATAGTGTCAAAAGCAGCACTTAAATCTAACAGAAAAAGGACTGAGACTTTTCCTGCGTCAGTGTTTAGTTTGATGTCATTTGTTACCTTTATTAGCGCGGTCTCAGTGCTGTGGTGGGGTCTAAACCCTGACTGGAACATATCATAAGCGTTATTGATTATTAAAAATTCTGTAAGTTGTTGATAGGCAACTTTTTCTAGAATTTTTCCCATGAAAGGCAGATTTGAAATGGGCCGATAATTTTTGAGTGCCAGGGCTTCCAGACTCCTCTTTTTTAGGAGGGGCCTGATGACCGCCGTTTTCAAAGCCGTTGGGAATGTTCCAGATTCAAGAGACATATTAACTATTTGTGTAAGTGAAGGTAAAAGACTGCTCAGAACTGACTTGAGAAATCTAGGAGGTAATACATCCAGGCTGCATGTGGAGGAACTCAGACTAGTGATTATTTCCTGGACAGTTTCAACTTGTACTGGTGTAAAGTGCGTCAGCCCAAAAAGCCTCACTGGCGGTTGGATTATTATTTCTATCGTGGAGGTGATGGCGTTTTTGATACCTTGGACTTTGTCATTAAAGAACTGAGCAAACTCATTACATTTAGATTTGGAAGTAAGTTCTGATGGCATCTTAACAGGGGGATTCGTCAATCTATTTACTGTTGAAAACAGAACACGTAGATTGTTGCTACAGCCTTCAATAGTTTCAGAAAAGTACATTTCCCTCGTTCTACGTAGTTCCCTGTTAAAATTGCACAACGCATCTTTGAAGATCTCATGGTCAACTTTGAGATTTGACTTTCGCCACTTCCGCTCGGCCTTCCGGCACTCTCTCTTCTGTGCCCTGACCGAGTCTGCTTTAGTCCATGGCGCTTTTTGCTTGTTTGTAACTATTTTAACCTTTACAGGAGCAATTGTATCCAGAACATTCAAAACAGTGGTGGTGACAGAGTCAAGTAATTCATCTACAGTAACACACAACGTGTTCTCAAAGTTTACCCTCCCCATGAACAGTTCGCCTGTATTATCATTTATGTGTCTTCTTCTAACAACCGAAGATTCAGCTGGTGGTTTACAATCAAGACACATGTCAAAAAATACACAGAAATGATCAGACAGAGCAACATTGACCACATTTACATTTGAAATATTAACCCCCTTGGTAATTAACAGATCGAGAGTGTGTCCTCTGCTGTGGGTGGGGCCACTCACATGCTGAGTGAGACCAAAGGTTTCCAGCACAGAGCTCAGCTCTATTGCATATCTATCATTAGCATTATCTACATGTATATTGAAATCACCTATAATGACTAAACCATCAAAATCTGTGCACACAACTGAAAGCCCATCCATCCATCCATCCATTTTCCTCCGCTTCATCCGTTGCCGGGTCGCGGGGGCAGCAGTCTAAGCAGAGACGCCCAGACTTCCCTATCCACACACACCTCCTCCAGCTCGTCCGGGGGGACCCCTAGGCGTTCCCAGGCCAGCTGAGAGACATAGTCTCTCCAGCGTGTCCTGGGTCTTCCCCGGGGCCTCCTCCCGGTGGGACGTGCCCGGAACACCTCCCCAGGAAGGCGTCCAGGAGGCATCCTGAACAGATGCCCGAGCCACCTCAACTGGTTCCTCTCGACGTGGAGAAGCAGCGGCTCTACTCCGAGCTCCTCCCGTGTGACCGAGCTCCTCACCCTATCTCTAAGGGAGCGCCCAGCCAGCCAGCTCATTTCGACCGCTTGTATCCGCGATCTCGTTCTTTCGGTCATTACCCACAGCTCATGACCATAGGTGAGGGAGGGAACGAAGATTGACCGGTAAATTGAGAGCTTTGCCTTTCGGCTCAGCTCCCTCTTTACCACAACGGTCCGATACAGAGACCGCATCACTGCGCACGCTGCACCGATCCGCCTGTCAATCTCACGCTCCATCCTCCCCTCACTCGTGAACAAGACCCCGAGATACTTGAACTCCTCCACTTGAGGAAGGACCTCTCCACCCACCTGGAGAGGGCAAGGCACCTTTTTCCGGTCGAGCATCATGGCCTCGGATTTGGAGGTGCTGATTCTCATCCCAGCCGCTTCACACTCGGCTGCAAACCGTCCCAGTGCATGTTGCAGGTCCTGGTTCGTTGGAGCCAGCAGGACGACATCATCCGCAAAAAGTAGAGATGAAATCCTGTGGTTCCCGAACCGGACCCCCTCCGGCCCCTGGCTGCGTCTAGAGATTCTGTCCATAAATACAGTGAACAGAACCGGTGACAAAGGGCAGCCTTGGCGGAGGCCAACATGCACCGGGAACAGGTCTGACTTACTGCCGGCAATGCGAACACAGCTCTGGCTCCGGTCATACAGGGACCGAACAGCCCTCAGCAGAGGACCCCGGACCCCGTACTCCCGGAGGACCCCCCAAAGGACACCCCGGGGAACACGGTCGAACGCCTTCTCCAAATCCACAAAGCACATGTGGACAGGTTGGGCGAACTCCCATGAACCCTCGAGTATCCGATGGAGAGTATAGAGCTGGTCCAGTGTTCCGCGACCGGGACGAAAACCACTGCTCCTCCTGAATCCGAGATTCGACCATCGGACGTAGCCTCCTCTCCAGTACCTTGGAGTAGACCTTACCGGGGAGGCTGAGGAGTGTGATCCCACGATAATTGGAACACACCCTCCGGTCCCCCTTCTTGTAGAGAGGGACCACCACCCCGGTCTGCCACTCCATTGGCACCGCCACCGATCGCCACGCGATGTTGCAGAGACGTGTCAGCCAAGACAGTCCTACAACATCCAGAGACTTTAGATAGTCAGGACGGGTCTCATCCACTCCCGGCGCCTTGCCACCATGGAGGCTGCCAACCACCTTGGTGACCTCGGCCAGGGAGATGGAAGTATCCGCCCCAACATCCTCAGCCTCTGCCTCCTGGACGGAGGACGTGACGGGGGGATTGAGGAGAACCTCGAAGTATTCCTTCCACCGCCCGACAATATCCCCAGTCGAGGTCAGCAGCCCTCCACCCGCACCATACACGGTGTTGGCAAAGAACTGCTTCCCCCTCCTGAGGCGCCGGACAGTTTGCCAGAACCTCTTCGAGGCCGACCGATAGTCATGCTCCATGGACTCTCCGAACTCCTCCCAGTCCCGGGTTTTTGCCTCTGCAACAGCCCGGGCCACGGCACGTTTGGCCTGCCGGTACTGGACAGCTGCCTCAGGAGTCCCACGAACCATCATTGCTCGATAGGACTCCTTCTTCAGCCTGACGGCATCCCTTACTGCCGGTGTCCACCACCGGGTTCGGGGATTGCCGCCGGGACCAGCACCAGAGACCTTGCGACCACAGCTACGAGCCGCCGCATTGGCGATAGAGGAAGAGAACATGGTCCACTCGGACTCGATGTCCCCCTCCTCTGCCGGGACCTGGGAGAAGCTCTCCCGGAGGTGTGAGTTGAAAGTCCGTCTGACAGGGGGCTCACCAAGACGTTCCCAGCAAACCCTCACTACACGCTTGGGCCTGCCAGGTCTGACCGGCCTCCTGCCCTGCCAGCGGATCCAACTCACGACCAGGTGATGATCGGTTGACAGCTCCGCCCCTCTCTTCACCCGAGTGTCCGAGACACGCGGTCGAAGGTCAGATGATACGACTACAAAGTCGATCATCGACCTCCGGCCTAGGGTGTCCTGGTGCCACGTGCACTGATGGACACCCTTGTGCTCGAACATGGTGTTTGTGATGGACAGGCCGTGACTGGCACAGAAGTCCAACAACTGAACACCGCTCGGGTTCAGATCAGGGGGGCCGCTCTTCCCGATCACCCCTCTCCAAGTGTCACTGGCATTTCCCACATGGGCGTTGAAGTCCCCCAGGAGAATAACGGAGTCCCCGGGCGGTGCACTGTCCAGTACCCCTCCCAAGGACTCCAAGAAGGCCGGGTACTCTGCACTACCGTTAGGCCCGTAGGCCGTCACAACAGTGAGAGACTTGTCCCCCACCCGGAGACGGAGGGACGCGACCCTCTCATTCACCGGGGAGAACTCCAACACGTGGCGGCTGAGATGGGGGGCAATGAGTATGGCCACCCCAGCTCGCCGCCTCTCCCCGCGGGAAACACCAGAAAAGTGGAGCGTCCAACCCCTCTCAAGGAGTTGGGTTCCAGAGCCCAAGCTGTGTGTGGAGGTGAGGCCGACTATCTCTAGTCGGTATCGCTCAACCTCCCCCACAAGCTCGGGCTCCTTCCCCCCCAGTGAGGTGACGTTCCACGTCCCAAGAGCCAGATGTTGGGTGTGTGGACTGGGTCGTCGAGGTCTCCGCCTTCGACCGCTGCCCAGTCCTCTCTGCACCTCGCCACCACGGACCCCTCTGCAGGTGGTGAGCCCACAGGAGGGACTGCCCACGTCATCCCTTCGGGCTGAGCCCGGCCGGGCCCCGTGGGCTAAGGCCCGGCCACCAGGCGCTCGCTTGCGAGCCCCGACCCCAGGCCTGGCTCCAGGGTGGGGCCCCGGCTGCGCCATGCCGGGCGACGTCACGGTTTTCGTTGTCGTGCTGTCCATGGTTGGCTTCGGACTGCGCTTCGTCTGACTCGTCACTTGAGACCTGTCTGCCATGGGAGACCCTACCAGGGGCATGAAGCCCCAGACAGCATAGCTCCCAGGATCATCCGAGTGCTCAAACTCCCCCACCACGTTAAGGTGGCAGTCCAAGGGGGGAGACAACTGAAAGCAACTCAGTGAAATGATCAGTGAAACTATGGCATGACTGTGGCGGCTTGTACACAACAATAATAAGAATGGAAGAAGATTTCTTTTGTTCTATTTTAAAAGAAACATACTCAAATGATGAAAATTTCCCAAGAGACACTCTATGGGAGACAATACGATCTTTAAAAACTGCTGCTATGCCCCCCCCCCTTTTATTTTCTCGTGTTTCATATTCAAATTTGAAATTTGGTGGTGAGGCTTCTATTAAAACTGCATCTCCTGTATTATGGTCAAGCCATGTTTCAGTCATAAACATAAAATCAAGATCATACGAACAGATAAAATTATTAATTAAAAATGATTTGTTGCATAGTGATCTGACATTAAGTAGAGCAAGGTTAAAATTAATATCAGTGTCAGTGGGTTTAGTTGATTGATTACAAAGAACTGGAATTAGATTTCCAGAGTTGGACCGTCTAACTGCTGTCCTTCTTTTAAATTTGTGTTTATTCAAGTTAAAACACATTTCTGAGCTGGTGCGAGGAACACACACAGTCTCTATTGGTTTAAAAAGTGAACTCTGTTGTACTTTGTTAAGTTCCAGATGCATAACTGAGTCAGCACAGTTCAGTGGCAGGACTGTCGTTACACTGCCAGACGGACAGGGGTCAGTGTTTGCACCACAGTACTCACCCGGTGCTGGTAAGGAGGAGGAGGGGGGTGGTGGGGGCCGAGAAGCCTCAGATGTAAACAGTCACGCCCCCCTCGGGGAGCACTGAACAACATGGCGTAGGAAGTCCGTCAACAAACTGGTGCCGTATCTGTTCGGGTGCAGACCATCTGGACGATAGGCCACGTGACGCTTCCAGAACAGGCCAAAGTTGTTCACAAAAATAAAGTTAAAAGTGCTGCATGTAGACTGGAGCCACATGTTGAGCGCCACAACGCGACTGTAGAGGCAGTCACCCCGGTTTACAGTCGGGACTGGACCAGAAATAAAAACGGATAACCCGGAGGACTGGAGGAGGCGGAACAGATCCATAAAGTGCTTCTTTGTGACCTCTGACTGCTGCAGCTTCATATCATTTATACCCACATGCACGATTACCTTGGATATGGTATCGGGCAGGGAGTGAAGCAGAGGAGGGAGACGGATGAGCAGATCTGGGACAGTGGCTCCGGTAATGCAGTGAGTGACCGCGTTAAAAAAGCGGACGTGCCTCACGATGGAATCTCCAACAATCAGAGTAGTCGGGCGAAGAGTGGACGCGGCCGCGGAGAGGGCGCTCGGTGTCCATGGCCAGAACCAGCGGGCTCATCCAGGGATGGGTCCGAACCAGGGCGCTGCTGAACACATGGAGAGGAGTGGGGGTGTTGATTCCCAGCTCCGGGCAACCCACGCTGTGTGCACGGAGACGCTGGAGCAGCGAGAGGAGCAGGCTCGGGTCGCTGCTGCTGACCCGGTGAAGGTAAGTGGTGGTGATGCACTGGGGTCAGAGAAGGGGAATGATCACTCTTTCGTCTGAGGACAGCTTCCTTTAAGAGTGTCTTTCTCGCAGTGGACCTGGATCCACGGACAGCAGTAGAGTTTGCTGCAGAGTCCAGGGGTTCTGCTGAGGGGGCTGGGATGTCAGCGGAGAGGGCTGCATAGCGGTTTGAAAGGCTCAGGACATGGGCCACGGCGCTGGATGGCTCCTCGCAGTCCGCAGGCTCTTTATTCCGAACCGGGCACTTAGGTGTAGAACAAGAGGGCCCAGAGCTGACAGATCTCTCCCACACGACAGTGTCACAGTATGCAGCGCTCAGTGACATAAGCCGTGAGTGCTGCCGCCAGCGACATCAAAAAGTTTGGACACGAGTGACTGTTTATCCTGCAGCTCTGCAGTGAGGCGAAGGACTTCTTTACGGAGGTCTGCAATAGTGGCACGGTCTCTCTCACGAAGCTCCAATGTGAGGCGACTAATGTCGTTCGTGGTCATTGCAGTGTCACTTTCCATGTCTGTGGTGCGCTCGTGGTAGCCTCCGAGCTAGCGCGTTTCAATTGGGTCTTTGTGTTAAAAGACGTGATGCTCTGGAACCATTGCATTTAAGATAATAAAACACTAGAGTGTACAAAAGACACTAATAAACCGTAAAAACGTGTTTAAAAGGCTTTAAAAGGCTTAAAAGGGTAAACAGAGCAGAGACGTCAAAAACGCGTGCTCACTCCACGCTGCTTCCGCCATATTCAGGGCTGCTTTGCCCTGCAATAAAGCAACAATCACTAAATGTCTTTGTCCTGTTGGAGAATCTTGTTTTAACACAGATAAAAAACACTCATACTTTTAATTTCTTGCAGTGTTTGATTGCAAAGGGATATAGTTTTAGTGTCATACCGATATATTTCGGTCCCAAGCAGCTCAGGAACTTTGCCTCTAAATTTTCACTTGCAAATGAAAAGTCATTTGTCTGAACAAGTATTAAGAATTTACCAAATCTACCAATCGACCAAAACTCTAATTCCTGTTAAACCTTGATTTGTAGATATATGTAATTGCACTAAAAATAAGGGGAAATGCCCAGCTTGTAAAACCAAAAGTACATAATTGGACATGACTAGTCGAATCAACACAACCTCCTGATAGCGGCATTTTAGACATGAATAAAACCAGACTATTTTAAAGCCCATACATGTAGTTCTGGGGAAGAAGGTTATAAACTACCTACTTATCACACAAGGGACAATACTTTGCGTAATGACAACGTTTAACAAGAGGGAAGCTCTAACCGTCACAGTTCAGACTTTGGCAGGTGCAGCTCTTTCCTTTATAAAGTTGTCCATGTTTCAAATGTTTATATTGCTGGACGATGCAGTCACCATTGTCCATTATAATGTGATTCCATGTGGTCCTGGTGACTTTAGAAGGCTTTTTTGTTTGTTTTAACGCTTGTATTTTGACGCATTCCTGTCTTCCCCTTTGGTGAAAAGCTGCACTGGTCTAAACAACACGCCAACCTTTCTTACTATTGCTCCAAGTGAAAAAAAAGTGGGAAAAAGCCTGTTCTTTGTTGCCCATTGTTACATAAAAAGCAGCTACGTTATATGCTCTGATTGAGATTATACCTACCTTTATTTTCAAGTTATAGCAATGTCTGTATATTCCCAATCTCTTCTCTCTGTTTTTCTCTGTGTATTCTACTTTGACATTCACCTGGCTCTAACCACAGCCTCTGGCAACAGCCGCATCCTGCCACATGATCTCTCGGGACACTATCAATATCCACTCAAAACGTTTGATATGCCCTTCTCTTTACAACCTGTGAATGCGCTAACCTCCATTTTTGAAAGTTGAATATCTTGTCTCGAGGGTTTGAAAACAACGGAACATCAAGACGATCCCATAAGAAAAAAACTTCATCGTGACCACATCTCCTGCTTCTCCTGTCGGGCATAAATCATCTTCCATAGAAATTCTCCAAATGTTTGCGGGGGTCGTTTTGTGTGACAGGTTTTTCTATTGGATTATTTATGGCGTTCATCTGGGTTTTAGTTGCGGGAGCCAGTCTGAGGGCCTCTCAGAGCTGCCGGTGTTGAAACATTTGCTGGGGGCCTCTGAGTGGATTTGAGGCTAATCGCAAAGCCACATGCGCCGTCCTGCAACAGCGTGACGGACCTCGCTCCAAAACAAATGCCACAAAACATTAAAGAAGGTGAACGGCTGCTTTGTTTTGAGTCACGTAAACACCAACGGCGTTATTCAAGCAGGTTTACAGAAGGATAGAGCAATGACATGTTGACATTTTCTGTCTCCTGCTGTTGTGGGCGAGTCATGGAAATTGTTTGTGAAAATTGGGAGAGTTTTAGTCAAAGGAGCAGTATGTAAAAATCTGGCCAAAAGTGGTACTGCAGCCTCTCCCACTCTCCCTGACTCAGGTTGCCAGATATGCAAACGAATCCAGCTGGGACCATAACAGCTGAATAAATAGTTTTGTCAAAAACAAATCTATAACCAACACCTTTTTCACAGAGATAGAAATCCTGGTTTTATTCCTTGTTTTGTCGTTAATGATTTGAGAATCATAACAAGACCTTTTTTAGTTCTGTGGCCACATGGTACTTCACCAGTGAGATTAGCTCGACGCTGTGAGTTCTGGCAACTCGGATCACAGACTTTCTGATTGGTAAAACGGGTTGAGGGCGGGAGATCGAAATGAAAACGAAAACAAATACGAAATTCAAATATCTCTGAACTGCAGTTATCAGTTAAAGAAGTATTGGAGTAGAGCATGTTTTATTAATGCCTTTTGACACATTAGGGCCCTTTAATAATGACTTGAAGAATTTGATCAATTACATTCCTAACATGTTACACCTACATGTGAAGGTCTGATACTGTAGGCGTGGTAGAAAATATTGCTTTTGTGGTTTTTTTTTTTGCAATCTACAATCCTACGATTCCAAAAAAGTAATTTCCTGTGTTTTTTTTTTTGTATGTGTTTTTATGTCTTTTATGCCCTGTGCTGCTCAAACTAATTGCCCCGGGTGGGTTGAAGAAAGTAGTCTGAATCTGATTCTTGTATTCATTCTGAAGCTGAGCAGGGTAGGGTCTGGTTAGTGCTGTGATGGGAGCACATTGGAGTGGCTGTAAAGTGGCAAACTGTTGTTGTGTCCTTAGGCAAGACACTTCACCCACATTAGAATGAGTCTGGTGTGTGTGTGAATGGTTGGTGGTGGTCAGATGGTACATATCGTTGCCTCATTTCTTCTATATTTTGTCATTTGTTGAAGCTCAGGCCATTTTATCATAAAGACATTACATTATTATCTTACTCTACCTATCCTCCTATATTGTTATTGCACCAGTGACATGAAGAAGTCTCTCCATGGCCACGCACAAAAGTACATTAGTGACATGTTAGTCCCATATGAACCGGCCCGGACTCTGAGGAGCACAGGGACTGGACTCCTGCTGGTCCCAGAGTCAGAACTAAACATGGGAAGGCTGTACTGTGATTATTTATGATTTTTTTTAATGCCTTGATTGTGAGATTGTTTCTATCTTGTCTGGTTCAGCACTTTGAGTTGCATTGTGTATGAATTGTGCTCTACAAATAAACCTGCCTTGCCTAATCTTTGCACAAGCATCTGCAATCTGTGGTGTCCAGCTGTGGGCGTTATCAACCAGACACGGCACACAGGTCGTCTGGAGGCAAGTGGTCATTTAAGAGCATCCACACACACAGGGCGCTTCAGGCCCACGGGGGGAAACCAAGCCCACACCGCGCACACTCAAAGGTCATGACTGTGCCTTCTCCCGGGCAACCGCGGTTTAGAAGCATCATCTCAGGCCTCTAACTCCTTTAAACACAAAACAAGGAATCAGGTTCACGGCTTCAGACAGTGGCGGCCATGTTTAGAGAAGCTTGTATTTGCTGAAGTGTAATATGGGGTAAGTCTCGGTTTAGTTTGATGCTTTTAACTTTTTATTTTAATTGTTTAAAAAAATAACTTTTTTCTTGTATGTAAGGCAACCTTGAGTGAAAGGTGCCTAAGAAATAAAGTGTATTATTAGAATTATTATTATTAGAATTAGTGTTTTAATTACCAAAAACGAATAAGTGGGTCTAAAACAGAAGGAGCTGGGGTGAGTATCTAGGAGACCGAGACTTAGTAGTTTTGTGATGATGGCACTATTAGCATTAGTGTTAGCATTAGCGTTAGCGTTAGCATTATTGTTCAAACACAGATTTACACTGGGTGGGAATATGGCAATATCTATCCCTACCAAACCAAGGCAAGTTTTTTTGTATAGCACAGTTCTTACACACAAAACAAGATAGAAACAATCACACAAGACTTTAAAATTGTAAGGAATCACAGTACATTGACTAAGAATTCCTCAATCAAATCCCATCTGGAGTGGAGTATTTGTGTCTTTCTGTAATTATACATGGAAATCAACACGTAGCAGGTTGTGTAATTCTTCCTGAATACCCAAAAAGAAATGGAAAGACAGAATGAACAGTAAACAGTGCTTCAACTTGCATTTGTAGTTTATTTTTTCAGTATCATTGAATAACAAGGTATCCAGGTTTTTTTTTAATCTTCAAACAACCAAAAAAACGGCAGAAAATTCACATGTCATCAATGTGCCAATCCTCTTTCAAATCCATTTGTAGAGAAAAATACTGTGATGATATTGTGAGTTTTATTTGATGGTTATAACCTTCCCTCTTTTCATGACTACTCCATTGCTATTTCTGCTTGTGTTTTGTGGACCTCTTCAGCTTGCTGACTCTAAAATACTTCGTTCCAATTAGTGCAGCTTCGTTCCCATTCTGGAATATGTAGCCTCTAACCGCACTTCTCTGCTTGGCCTGCAGGGGGAGCGTGTGTGGCTGCGGGAGGATGAGCAGTACCTGCCCAGCACCGTGTCGTCCTGCGCCGGCGGAGTGGTCGTCTTCTCCACCGACTACGGACAGGTAACCACGCTACAGACAACTCAGAACGCACATTTACTTCTATTAGTATCCAGGCTCGACAAATATGAGGTAAAAAAAACATATTCTAGTCCAGAGCTGGGCAAAGTGTGGCCCGGGAGCTACTTTCGGCCCTATTCAAGTTTCTCCGGCCCTCAGACTTTTTCCCATCTGAAGATGTCATACCCAACAAAACAATTCTTGGCCTTCTTTAGCTTTAGTTCAATCTAAGAAAGAACTAACATCAACACAAATTATCAGTTTTTAATTAAATGAAATAATACAAAGTAAAAGTGCCTATTTCGTAAAAGGTTAAAACTAGAATATAGACATAGCAATGATGCCAATAATAACACTGAAATCTATCCTTCCTGAACAAAATTAAAGGTTGTGTTGTCTTCTCCATATTGAACCTTCCCTAAACAAAAAACTAATAATTATCATTTCCCAATTTTTTTAACTAAAACATTTAAACGCAGATAACTCTTTCTTCATGGTCCTCATCCAATTACTGTCCTTCCCTACGGCAAAACAAATACATACATCCATACGTTTACATTGTAGGAGAGGGAATATCTATAGGTTTTTATAGATGCAGAATGTTTAAGTTAAGACAAGAACTTTATTGAGCGATTCTACAAACGCAGACTGGAGTTTTTTCTGGCGGTGAAAACCGGGTGTTGATGGTTTAGAGTTGTAGAAGCAGCTTAAACTGTAAGTTGTCTGGCTCATTGTTGGGATCAGCTTTCGATGTGGTCTCCTCCATCTGTTTCTTTGATCAGCTCAGAGACGAAGCAACAAGTGGACTCAGCAGTTCACGAGCCAAATCTCAAATACAACTTTTAACAACAGTCGTGCACCCAGGTCTAGAACATTCTGACGTTCTTAAGATTAAATGGCTTTATTCTATTGGAGAAGAACTCTTGCTTTTTTCTCATTCCAAGGGAGACATTTCTTGTATATTATTCAAACGAGATCATTTTTGTTGGCAAATATTGTTCAAGGCCATCAAAATGTGCTCAAATTAAGATATTTTTTTTGCCAAATTTGAGCAATTTTACATCATTTATCACTTTTTGCCATGTATGAATGAAATGCATTCTCCCACTTATCGCATGGTTTTGCGAAGCAGTAAATCGTTAAATAAATGTGTTCAAATGGTAATTAAATGGAATCTGAATCGGAACTGCTGTATTTTCCCACTTTTAACCCTGGAGAAACTCTCTGCTCTCTGGGTTTCCTCTGAGGGAAGGATAAGTATGTCTTAATCCCGCTGTAATCGCTGGACAAAAGGCCGACTCCACATGAGCACGGGGCACTTCTCTCTGACCACAGGACGTCTTTATCAGGTCTGAAACTGCCCCAGAAGGATCATGTCTGTGCACGAGCCGCACCCACGAGACGCAGAGCTTCTGGGGACTTCCCTTTCATAAAAAATGATTAAACTACTGTGTGAAATTGTTCCTTAAATACAAATAATTGAGAGATTAATTCAGTCCTGACACAACTGTTTTACTGTAAAACTGTATTTGGCTCTTGAGAATATTTGGCTCACATCTCAAAACATGAAATCATTTCTTGAGTAGAAATATGGATGTATAAATATGATCATTTGAAATTAAGATAATGTGTCTAGACTTCTATCTAGTGTTTGACTTGGGGAATGACATTCTTCTAGATTTAGATCTAGCCAACACAGTACCACCGAAGTACATCCAAGACATGTTAGTGCCACATGTGTATCTATAATATATCTATAATGTATAATATACAGTGCCTTGCGAAAGTATTCGGCCCCCTTGAACCTTTCAACATTTCGCCACATTTCAGGCTTCAAACATAAAGATATACAATTTAAATTTTTTGTCATGAATCAACAACAAGTGGGACACAATCGTGAAGTGGAACGAAATGTATTGGATAATTTAAACTTTTTTAACAAATAAAAAACTGAAAAGTGGGGCGTGCAATATTATTCGGCCCCTTTACTTTCAGTGCAGCAAACTCAGTCCAGAAGTTCAGTGAGGATCTTTGAATGATCCAATGTTATCCTAAATGACTGATGATGATAAATAGAATGCACCTGTGTGTAATCAAGTCTCCGTATAAATGCACCTGCTCTTTGATAGTCTCAGGGTTCTGTTTAAAGCGCAGAGAGAACCATGAAGACAAAGGAACACACCAGGCAGGTCCGAGATACTGTTGTGGAGAAGTTTAAAGCCGGATTTGGATACAAAAAGATTTCCCAAGCTTTAAACATCTCAAGGAGCACTGTGCAAGCAATTATATTGAAATGGAAGGAGTATCAGACCACTGCAAATCTACCAAGACCCGGCCGTCCCTCCAAACTTTCATCTCAAACAAGGAGAAGACTGATCAGAGATGCAGCCAAGAGGCCCATGATCACTCTAGATTAACTGCAGATAACGACAGCTGAGGTGGGAGAGTCTGTCCATAGGACAACAATCAGTCGTGCACTGCACAAATCTGGCCTTTATGGAAGAGTGGCAAGAAGAAAGCCATTTCTCAAAGATATCCATAAAAAGTCTTGTTTAAAGTTTGCCACAAGCCACCTGGGAGACACACCAAACATGTGGAAGAAGGTGCTCTGGTCAGATGAAACCAAATCGAACTTTTTGGCCACAATGCAAAACAATATGTTTGCCGTAAAAGCAACACAGCTCATCACCCTGAACACACCATCCCCACTGTCAAACATGGTGGTGGCAGCATCATGGTTTGGGCCTGCTTTTCTTCAGCAGGGACAGGGAAGATGGCTAAAATTGATGGGAAGATGGATGGAGCCAAATACAGGACCATTCTGGAAGAAAACCTGTTGGAGTCTGCAAAAGACCTGAGACTGGGACGGAGATTTATCTTCCAACAGGACAATGATCCAAAACATAAAGCCAAATCTACAATGGAATGGTTCACAAATAGACGTATCCAGGTGTTAGAATGGCCAAGTCAAAGTCCAGACCTGAATCCAAACGAGAATCTGTGGAAAGAGCTGAAGACTGCTGTTCACAAACGCTCTCCATCCAACCTCACTGAGCTCCAGCTGTTTTGCAAGGAAGAATTGGCAAGAATTCCAGTCTCTCGATGTGCAAAACTGATAGAGACATACCCCAAGCGACTTGCAGCTGTAATTGCAGCAAAAGGTCCATCCATCCATTTTCTTCCCTTTAATCCATTTCTGGGTCAGGGGGGTGGCAGTCAGAGATGCCACCCAAGTCTCATAGCACCAGCCCCTCACTGACCCTCTGCAGGTGGTGAGTCCACAGGAGGACGGCTGCTCTCTGAGTGTGAGCATAGCCTTGATCTTTCAGTGGTGGGCTTTGGGCAAAGTGGGGTTAAGTTTCTTGCCCAAGGACACAACGACAGCAGTCATCAGTGGGAGTCGGTGGAGAAGGTGTAGAGGTGAGAGGTGGGTGCAGCAAAAGGTGGCGCTACAAAGTATTAGCGCAAGGGGGCCGAATAATATTGCACGCCCCACTTTTCAGTTTTTTATTTGTAAATTTTTTTTAAATTATCCAATACATTTTGTTCCACTTCACGATTGTGTCCCACTTGTTGTTGATTCTTGACAAAAAATTAAATGTTTATATCTTTATGTTTGAAGCCTGAAATGTGGCAAAATGTTGAAAGGTTCAAGAATACTTTTGCAAGGCACTGTATGTTGTACAGATTCTCCCTAAACCAAAAACCTTTTTCTTTTGTTTTGTTCTTTATTTGTTGCTCCTGTAAGTGGGTACAGCGCGATTACATATTATAACGTTGTATGGCTTCAAATAAAGTATTATAGTCAAACTCTTGAGGAGCACAGGGACTGGCCTCCTGCTGGGACTCTGAGGAGCACAGGGCCTGGCCTGGGTTTTCCTTATATTAGTTATGTTATATTAACGTGAATGGAGATTTTAAAAAAACAAAAAAAAAACAGGTATAACAATGTTGTGCTATGGTTAACGAAAAGAAAACATGAGCATAATCAATCTTAGTTCATGAAGTGCTTTTGATAAACTAACAAAGTGCTTTACAGTTGATACAAAACAATCTAAATACACACAAACACATGAGGCTGTGTGTGTGGTATAAAAATCCTTCTAAAAGTGCCGACTCCTCTGGATGGGGCCTGGCTTAAGGACGTCCCACTGCGCCGACATTGCGGGCAGGTCCCAGCGCTCCCCGTGTCCCGTTTCGTCCCTGTGAGCTCCGCAGACGGCAGCACAAAGGACACGGATGAATGGGTCGTCAGAGAGCACCTGCCACGGCTCCGATGGAAGCAGCGATAAAGGGGAGCACCCAGGGGCGACGCGGCTCAGGCTCCACTTACACCTGATGATGTCACCACGGATGGATCCATAATGAAGCCGTCTGTCAGTCTGTCTGTCTAGAGGAGTTTGACCTGAACCAGTGAAGTCGTAGAGGACTTGTTATAAACATGTAGTAATTCGATAGAGTGATTATATCGAAGCATTTACAGCTAGCTAAGAAACATAGCAGCTGCTTATATTGTACTACTGTTCTGTATGTGCGCTGCAACATTGACATTTTGGTACTAGGATCGATTCCCCCTCCAAATGGGGCCTTTCTGTGAGGAATTTGCATACATCTTGGATCATCACCACTTTCTACTACAGATATTCGCTCACATTCTAAAATAATAATTGAGAAAATCAATAGTCGCAGGATATTTCTGATTAGCCAAGAATATTGAGTTATACGTGAATGATGATGAATAAAGTTTATTTCAGTCACTTGTTACGGAGCAGTACATTTACAGCAGACCAAAAAGGAGTAGGCTGAAGCTAATGCCTAAATGCGTATAACTAGTATAAGTGAACGTATACAAGCATACAGGGAAAAAAAACACAGAATACAGATAACAGTGAGAATTCAGTGTTGATTACACTACAATAAACAACAAAGGTACAGCTGGGAAAGTTTTGGTAGGGTCAGTATGTGTGTGTGTGTGTGTGTGTGTGTGTGTGTGTGTGTGTGTGTGCGCTAGTGGGAGATCCAAAGCTGAGAAAGGGAGGAGGATATGAGTAGGTATTAGTAGGCATGTTTTCTAATGGGTGTGAGATTAAGTGGTCCGACATCTTACTGCTTAACCACAATAATAGTTTAAAAGAGTGAATTATCCACCCTCTAACAGATAAACAGCATTTCAGTTCATTAGTTTGTCTGTTTCTCTCAACTCATAATGACAGATTGTGAACGGCTTCTGTAGTGGTTTTGACAGGAGGTACATTTTTTTCTTAAACGTCATTATCAAAGTGTAAAGGTTGACTAATTAAATGTAAATGTTTTATTCATTTTTGGCCAGAGCCGTGGTGTGTACCATCTTGTTGCACACTGGGGTGGTCTTACACAGGTTGCAAATGGCAAATTAGTTCTTGAATCTTAAATTTTAAGTTTGCTCGTTGTAAGCTGTTAATGTGATCGCTCTTATTGCCCTTTTTTGCAAAATGAAAATTGGTTTAGTATTAGTTTTATAAGTGTTGCCCCAGACCCTACCAGCTTCTTGCTCCCTCCACCACTTTGAACCGTCTAATTGTCCTACAGAAGGCTTTTATACAGACTCGACACTTTTCATGTAGACAGTGTTCTGGCAAACCGGATCCGTCTCCATCTGTCTCTGTGTCACTTTGAATTACACCAGTCTGATCTTCACTTTTGTCATGTGTAAGTTGCCACACCCCACACCCCTCCCCTCCCTCACTGTCCCGGGGTCCCGTCCGAGCATCTGTTCCTATACCGGCTTAGCACTGTAGGCTTTTGTGTTTTTAAATGGATAGATCCTCCTCATCTCTGTATAAGACACTGCTTCAATTAGAGCCGTAATCAGGTCAAAGCTGCTGAGTCGAGCTGGGAGGGGATTACTGCGAAAGAATAGAAGAAAAAATTGCTTAAGTCATCGGAATTATTGATGAATGAATGAACGACAGTAAGCAACATCTCTGTCCATTTGATTGACAGTCTCCGTATGACTGACAATAAATAATGAAGAGACAGTCAGTTGTAATAGGTTTTAATGGAAAGAGGGAAAGAAAATGTGATTTGTGAGAGAAAGACATTTTATTATCTACTTTTTGAGAATTAAATTGAGGACTTTGTCTCTGCTTCTTGCCGATCAAATTGGCTTGACTTTAGCTTTGATTCAGTTCAATAGAATGTATTCTTGTTTAGCCCTAAATCACAACAGTAGTTTTCTCAGAGGACATTACAAAAACTTTGAATTCGCCAACAAAGATCAGAGAATCAAAGAAATGCAGTGATAAAGAACACATAGAGACATTGGTCCACTGTATCACTGGTAAAGTACCATGTGGCCACAGAACTAAAAAAGGTCTTGTTATGATTCTCAAGTCATTAACGACAAAACAAGGAATAAAACCAGGATTTCTATCTTTGTGAAAAAGGTGTTGGTTATAGATTTATTGTTGACAAAGCTCTTGTCTATTCAGCTGTTATGGTCCCAGCTGTATTCGTCTGCATATCTGGCAACCTGAGTCAGGGAGAGTGAGAGAGGTTGCAGTACAACTTTTGGCCAGATTTTTACATACTGCTCCTTTAAACATATTTTTTGACATGGACAACTTGACAAAGGAAAGAGCAGCCTGTGGAAAAGTGTATTACTTTGTAGGTACGAGCTTCTCTCTTTTCACACATACAGGACAGTAGCAAGAGCACTCAACTAGCATACAAAATACACAACACAAGTAGCTGTAAATGTATTCTCCCATCTGCGACTTCACTCCTTCATCTGACCCACATCTAGTAGCTAGCTTAGGTCCTAGATCATTAGCCTGTCCGTCCGGAGGAGCGGATCCTTTTCTCATATGGGTCTCCCTCCCTGTGGGTTTCCCTAGTTCTCCCAAAGGTTTCTCACTTTTTCCCACTGGGTTTTTTAAGAGTTTTTCCTTGTCGATGCAGGAGGGTCTTGTTGGACAGTTAGTGTCCAACAGAAAGGATTGGTGATGATCAGGACAGATTCAGATTCAGATTCAGAAAACTTTATTGATCCCTTAAGGGCAATTGATTTGCTGCAACCTCCGACAGATGTTGTACAAACACATCACAACACTCACTGTGTGTCACTTCCAACAGTACAGACAATAGCAAATAATTAAAAGAAAACGACACATTTCACAAAGGTCGGTGTCACTTAATAAACACACTCCCTTCAGAATTCAACAGTTTAGTGACAGAGGGGACAAAAGAGTTGGCGAAACGATTTGTTTTCCGAGAGGGTACATAAAAACGACGTCCAGAAGGCATGAGCGAAAACTTAGAGGACAGAGCATGGAGAGGCTGACCCAAGATACATTTAGCTTTCTTTAGCGCCTGCTCCTCCCAAAGAGACTGTAGGTCTCTTTGTTTAACACCAATAATTTTAGAGCAGATTTTGATAATGTTTTTATCTTTCACAGACAAACCCTTGAACCAGCAAACAAATGGAAATGTTAATAGGCTCTCTATAAAACAGCAGTAAAAGTTGCAGAGAATCCTTTTATTTACATTAAAAGAGTTCAGCTTCCTTAGAAGATAGATTCTCTGCTGACCGCGTTTAAAAACGGAGTCTGTATTTGCGTCAAACCGCAACTTGTTGTCCATCCAAGAACCAAGATATTTGTACTTTAGCACACTTTAGCATTCTACAACATGTATGGACATTTTCTTCTGTGTGTGCTTTATATTTTTCATGTGTTTTAATTGTTGGTTTTCTGACCTGTGTTGGTGATCTCAATGGTTTTGTTAAGTCCTCTGAGATGACTTCTGTTGTGACCTAGGGCTATACAAGAATAAATTGTATTGTATTGTATTGTATCCGCAAATAGCTTTAAAACAGTTTGAGTTTTCGCTGTCTAAATCACAAACGTGCGAACAAGGCTATCATGAGACATTCAGAGTGTCTTCTCTCGGAGTTTGTCTTCAGGCTCCTCCTGTTGATAGATGCTAATGTGACAATCTGTTGCCAGTTAACCCTGCGACTGCTCCCTCGGGCCGCAGTGCATCCTGGGAAGTGTCTGCTTACACACAGCTCTCCGCCACCATCAGAACACGTTATGATCTTGTTTATGTTATAGCCATTTGACACAGTTTCAGGAAAAGCCATCCCAACTTTGTTCCCCTTGAGTTTCTTTCTCTCGCTAATACAATACAGCATCGGGGGATTTAGAAGCATGTTTATAGGAGTCTGTGTTTCAATCCAGGCGCTAAACTGTGGAGGAAAAGTGAAATGGCCTGTGCAATTCTCGTGGTTTAGTTCTATCTGCTCAACAACGGGTTTTCTAGGCATTCATTTCAAATTGGTGTCACCACCAAACCTCTAATAATTTGAAACCAAAAGTGCACAAGATGAAGATATATAAATACAGATACAGTATATGCCAATTAGTAGATTATATCTCCTCTGGGTTTTTCCCCGGGTCAGCTATTTACCACAATGGGCCAATGTTGCAAATCTGCTACATCCCAAAATGCATTGCCTGTGAAGGTCTCTCTTTTAAAAAAACTTCCCCATATGAGAATTTGCCCCAAATATCATATTTTTCATTCAAACTTAATTGAGCCCTGAGAGGGTTTAGACCGCCTGATGGGACCCGTGGTGGTCAGGTTAAGTGCAGGTCTGTCTCTCTGGGTTTGAACTGGTCCCTGCTCCATGTTGTTGATTCTGTACCTGTGTGTGTTTCAGATACTGTATGTGTGTGTTGCTGATACTACATGTGTGTGTTGCAGGTGTACACGTACAAGCAGAACGCTCTGACGCGACAGAAGGTGCAGCCCATGCACCTGAGCTCAGTGCGCTCTGTGGAGGACATGTCTGCTCTGGACGACCTGCACGACGGAGCCATTATGTACAACCTGTACCTGCGCTACCAGCAACGCCTCATCTACGTGAGTCTCACCTCCACGAACAGTTATATGGTCTATTTCAGACATGTGTCGTTTATGAAGGCAGGAGACTGGGGCTTTTAAAACACATGGACCAAGCTCAATCAATCTTATAATATGAAGTCACCAGAGATATATCCTTGTATTTGTCCTGGCTGATTAGAAGTCATGCAGCTGGAGGAAGTGTGTGTGGAGAGGGATGTCTGGGCATCTGTGCTAAGACCGCTGCCCCCGCGACCCGGCAACGGATGAAGTGAAAGAAAATGGATGGATGAAAAATCAGTTGCCAGTAAAGGCTGCTGATGTTTTAGGTTCCATTCAGATTTTCCCTTGGGTCCTGGGTGCTTCCATTTCTGTGTGGAGTGAGAGACAAGTGCCCACAACAATTGTAAAGCCCTCTGGTCTGTGAAAGGCGCTATATACAATAAATACAAATTAGTTACTGGATTACTTACAAACTAATCTGAATTTTCACGGAGCAAATGTGTCATCTAAACCCAAGACCAAGAAAGTTCATAAAATATACTTTGCTGTAGTGCACAGTGAGGGCAGGTCTGTGGAAAGAATTCACATATCTTTCCCGAACGCAGAGGTTTGGAAACTCTTTCAGAGATTCTAATGTGAACCTGCGGTCTGGGTCACGCACACACACACACACACACAAACACACACACATACACACACCAGGAGACCTGGAGTTGGGCAACAGTAACAACACAATATGTGCCTCGCAGTCAAAGTACTCTTGGCCTCTTGTCCGTGTGATGTCCTCTGAATGTTCTTTGGGTTATTGGCCCAAACATAACATCTGCTGCTGCTGGAGACTCACGGCTCATGGCCAGATATGAGGTGTGTCTCAACAGTCCCAGTTGATTGACAGGTGAAATTATAGGAAGATATACGAATTGAACAGGGGTCAACAACCTTTTTTTCTCCATACACGGTGGTGACAAACTACTACTGTAGCCGCAGCTGCCCTGGGGCACACTGACAGAACTCTCTGACCACTCTGACCACCAACCATTCATAGGCAATGTGGGTGAAGTGTGTTTCCCAAGGACACAGCACGTTTACCCGCTCCACTCTGGCACATGGTGTTCCCAGAGGTCTCCCATCACAGTACTAACCAGGCCTTGCCCTGCTTAGCTTCAAAGGTTGAATGAGATCTGGCTTTCAGATGCAGGTATGGCCACCGATAATAATAGTTTCCCTTTTCAAATACATGAAATAAATGAACTTTTGAACGATTTTGTTATTTTCCGAGACAATTTTAGTTATTTTTTGTGTCATATTTGATTTCATTATCTACATTCGTTCACCCGAAGTTGCACACCCACCGTCCATTTCTTATGACATAAAATAGTCACGCTCTCATTGATAAAATCCTCTGTTATTAGTGTTTCGCACGAACGACCCGCGAGACAAACACATTCCATTCTCGGTAGTTTGTGAAGAGTCAGATGTAGTTTGAATGCCCTCTGACCTCCAACTCACTCTGAAAGGTCTGAGCCCGAGCGCTGGCTTCACAGTCGGCTGCTTCTAATAATCGTCAGCCGCAGAGCAGAGACACACACACACACATACAGAGACACACACACACATACACACATACAGAGACACACACACACACACATACAGACACACACACATATACATACAAAGACACACATACACAGGGAGACACATACCTGCAGGGAAGTCCACTTTAATCTGCACATTCCACCCAGGCAGGAAGGACACCAGCCCCCCAACACACACACACACACACACACACACACTACATAATTACATCTTACATACAGACCTGTTTATGTATCTAAATTAAAGATTACACACATACGCATCTACACACACGTATTTACGCCACATATATGGGCTCACTCACACATACACGCAAACATGCATAAACATACATACACACAAATACATGCATACACATACACACGCACACACACACACATTACATAATTACATCTTATATACAGACCTGTTTATCTGAATTGACGATTACACACATACGCTTATACATGGGCTCCCACACACACACACACACACACACACACCCACACACACCCAAGTACAAGTGAATATTTGTATTACCTATAGGATGTACCAGTAGTAGATGCATGGATTACAAGAAAACAATGGAAAACTGCAGATTCCGTGATTTATACAGAACAACATTTTGATTCTGGACCATGTTTGTCGAGATGAGCTGGTGGTCGAGTGGAGGCAATAAGCTCTACAAAAACCCTGGGAATATTGGTGGAATCCAGTTTGATTAAGACTTCAAAATAGAACGATTTTTAGTACCCTTGTCAAAGCAGTATCCACATTCCCCTCATGATAAACAACATTAAATCTTGTTTTCACGTTCAGAAAGTGTTAAAGCAACTCTTTGTGGCAGAAATGAGAAATGTTGCTCCGGCCTGTCCTCATCAAATTAGAAAACAATTTATATTTGAGATTCCAGTCGTTCGTGGAGGCTTTGGTCTTGAGTGGGAATACTTCTGATTTGCGAGAGTTTTAATTCAACTTCTAAAATCATAGAACTGTTTTTTTTCTCTGGCCAACTGTGTATTAAACATTAAGCCGGAGTTTCCCAGAGTGTGACTTTCTCTCCACACAAATTACACTCAATTAACCCTCAATTATGTGAAATGACTGAACATTTACATGGTCAGTAAGGGTTTAAGAGCTTCCATATGTGAGAAACACTTATGTCCTCTGCATCCAAGGCTCTAGAAATGCACCGGAAACTTTTCAAAAGATTTTATGTGATTAATTTTAGTCGTGTTTCCATCTGTGAAAAGTACAGTATTGTTAATGTTATTATGCGTCTGTGATTGTTAAGATTCAAACAATATTGTATGAAAAATGGGAAATTATGACACCAAAGCATGAGTTTCTGCTATTAGATTTTATTCTATTCTATTTTAGTTATTGTTCACTTATTTTGTGCTGTGTGCTCCTGTAACTGGCGATGCAAAACTGAAATTTCCCCCACTGTAGGATAAATAAATATCTTTTCATCTTAATCTTGTAATGGTATAAAGTAACTGTTGTACGATGACGTCGCACTCAAAGCAGTTCAAGTTTTGCCCATAGATATATTTTGGCATTTTCTCAAGTGAAATTGCATTTGTAACAATCACATGGATGTGTTTGCAGCCGGTATTTTTCATTTTTTGAAAAATAACCCCAAAAAAAATTCAACTCTTTCAACTGGTTACAGCGGGGTAGTGCAGGCCCATAGCTTTATCCTTGGTACTTGTTTCATCATATGTTTCATACTCCTACTTTTATATGATTTTTCCGTAACAGTGTAAAGCAAACACACAACAGTAGCTCAGTTGGTAGAGCATTGGCCTTTGAGCCTGAAGGTTGTGGGTTCAAGCCCACCGCAAGACCTACTTCACGACTCCCACTGATGACTGCTGTCGTTGTGTCCTTAGGCAAGACACTTAACCCCACTTTGCCTGAAGCTCCCACTGAAAGATCTCAGCTCCTGTGGACTCACCAGCTGCAGGAGGATCAGTGAGGGGCTGGTGCTCTGTGTACTGGGTGGCATCTCTGGCCACCCCCCCCGACCCAGAACTGGATTAAGGGGAAGAAAATGGATGGATGGATGGAGTGTAAAGCAAGTTACCTTTTTTTTTTCTAATTACAACTATACACAAACATGGACACAGACACCAGATGTTCCAAGTCCAAGAGCAGCTCGCCAGCCGCACTCGCCAGCCGCACTCGCCAGCCGCACTCGCCAGCCGCATTTGCCAGTGTATTTGTCAGCTCTGACTGTAACGACTATAGTTTCTATGGCTGGACCAGCTCTCTCTGTCTCTCTCTCTCTCTCTCTCCCTCTCCCTGTCACAGGTCGGACATTACAAGAGACCGTCCAAAACCCAAACACTACAAAGAGGACAGGGTGGACATGTATTCAGCGCTGACGGAGGCTGGAGAGATTTAAGACTCAGTGACCATGAGCCAGCCTCAGGACGACGTAGAAGCCAGTTGAAAAGACCAATCTGCTCGTTTAAATAAGCTCAAAATACACTGCAAAAAGTGAAGAAAAATACTTTAAATAATGCTCAAACATCTTAAAGGTATCTAAGAGGATTTTCTACTTCCTCCTAATTGTCAGCTCGTGAAACAAGACCAGACCGTTATTTCAAAAGTGGACAGGGCGGTTCTTTCCTAAAATTTGAGAAAATCCTCATATATACACCTCCTGCTATTTTATTTAAGCAAATTGATCTTGTTTTTAAGAAGATAAAAAAAATTTCTCCTGGAATGAGAAAAAAAGCAACAGTTCTTGAATTAACACTAAATGGCTTTGTCCCATTGGCAAAACCTAAACCTAACCCTAAAATTAAGATTAAAAAACTTGATTTAAGCCTTTATTACCTCACACTCTCACATTTTGCTGTGTACATTTTCAATTATTCTGAAAGCACCAAAAAAGTTGTTGGCGGTCTGCGAGTTTGGCTTCAGCTCCAGCCTCAGACTCACTGTTCCTGCTCCTGTTGTTTTTTTCCCCTCTCTTGTTTGTCGTTTCTCCGTCCAAGAAATAAATCAAAGCATTCTATTTCCGTGCCCAACTGACCCAATTTCCAACGCGTTCAGGAGAAGGCGAGCACAAGGCCGGAGATCAGAAATACCAGTTCAATTTGTCGGATTGAGTGAGTTGTTGTTTGAAAGACGAGAGGCCGTTGAACCATAGTTTTGTAGATCTAGGCCTGTTCCGGTCTCTCTTAAGAATCCCAGCTCTGTCTTGAGTATCTTGAGTCTTAATTCAGGATTTGGAGTCTAAATGTGGACCAAATTATTAAGATTAAGAGACTTTATTCATCCCACTGTGCATGGGGAAATGTCAGTGTTGCATCACAAGTTACAGAACGGTAAGAATGAAAAACACACAACACAAGACATGTGACTGTGTGTGTATATTAACCCCTTAGGCACCAGGTTATTGTTATTTTATTCAGGAATTTGACTTGAAA